GTGCATTAACATGCCTTTAAAACAGTCATAATTACTGCTGAATGTTTAAAACAGTCATAATGACTGCTGAATGATTAAATCAGTCATAATGACTGCTGAATGTTTAAAACAGTCATAATGACTGCTGAATGTTTAAAACAGTCATAATGACTGCTGAATGTTTAAAACAGTCATAATGACTGCTGAATGTTTAAAACAGTCATAATGACTGCTGAATGTTTAAAACAGTCATAATGACTGCTGAATGTTTAAAACAGTCATAATGACTGCTGAATGTTTAAAACAGTCATAATGACTGCTGAATGATTAAAACAGTCATAATGACTGCTGAATGATTAAAACAGTCATAATGACTGCTGAATGATTAAAACAGTCATAATGACTGCTGAATGTTTAAAACAGTCATAATGACTGCTGAATGTTTAAAACAGTCATAATGACTGCTGAATGTTTAAAACAGTCATAATGACTGCTGAATGATTAAAACAGTCATAATGACTGCTGAATGATTAAAACAGTCATAATGACTGCTGAATGATTAAAACAGTCATAATGACTGCTGAATGTTTACACAGTCATAATGACTGCTGAATGATTAAAACAGTCATAATGACTGCTGAATGATTAAAACAGTCATAATGACTGCTGAATGATTAAAACAGTCATAATGACTGCTGAATGTTTACACAGTCATAATGACTGCTGAATGATTAAAACAGTCATAATGACTGCTGAATGATTAAAACAGTCATAATGACTGCTGAATGATTACACAGAGGCCTCCTGTGTGTGATCAGTATAAATACATCTGTTCTGTGAGGCCTCAGAGTGTGGGGGTCACTAAACAGCATCATGGGGGGTAAGGACACAGAGGTCAGGGATAAAGGAGACAGAGGTCAGAGGTCATACTGTATGAATACTTTTGCAGGTCCAACTTTTTGGTTTTCTCTGTTTTGAAAAACAGAATGTTGTGTCATGCGTTGGGGTCCACTTTGCCCTGTCGGTACTTCTTTTCCGATAATGACCTGTGTAACATACGTTATCCCTTACGTACACTAATGATTATCAGTAGGTGTTTGCATAAAATGTCTTTGTGCAATATTAAGCCTGGATTTAGTGAATTCAGAGAAGACTCAAGGACAAGTTTTCTGTGATAAAAGTATCATTTTCATGAACAGCGTGTCTCTTATCGGAACAAGGCTTGAGACCCAAAACTGGACTAGACCAGACCCAGACGAGGGCCTCTGTTGGTCTCACCATATGACCTCATCGGACATTTTGATAAAACTGTGGGTAGGACATTTTTTTCATAGTCTGAGCAGGGATAGATACAGAGGGGACATTTGCAGAGCGCCTGGATTGTCCTCTCCCATAGTTTAGGGACAGTAACTTTATGCTCAGCTCATAGGATTAGATAGGGTTAGCCAGTTAGATAGGAGCTCTGAGTTTTGTATTTAATTGTAAAGATAATTAAATGTTCATTTTGTAACTCTTGTATGCTTGGTCTTATTTCTGTAGCAAATTCGAACACGTCCGTCATTTTTTTTGACAATAAGACACTGAGCCTTTTCAACTGATCCGTCTGATTTGGTTTCATCGACAGATAAAGCTGTGTGTCATCTGCAGCAGTGGAAGTTGATTCCATGCTTTTTAATGATGTTTCCTAACGGCAGCATGTAGAGAGTGAAAAGAATCGGTCCAAGCACCGATCCTTGGGGCACACCGAATTCCACTCTAGAGTAAGGTGATGAGTTTTGATTCACATTGACAAAGTAATACCGATCTGATAAATAGGATTCAAACAGGGCTGGACTGGGACAAAAAACGGCCCGGGCATTTTTTCCTTTTTAGCGGTCCAGGCAACTCAAAAGGTTCAAGGAGCCATATTTGACAAAAAAACTAAAAACAACATCTGTCTGGAGCCGCAAACATATTGTATAAGGCTCATATGAAGGTAACAGGGGCTGAAGCTGTATTAGCTACATTAGCTACATTAGCTATATTAGCTATATTAGCCTAATATCTAAATGACAAAGTAAAGGCTAAACACATAAAAACCATTCATGATTATCAAATGTGTATTTTCATTGCAGCGTGTCCTGGAGAGAATGACGCACCACGTGACAACTATGCTTTAACTTTAACTTACATTTTTTTGCCTTCATGCAATTGTACAAATACAGTAAATAAATCTGCTTTTTGGCTCCGAGTTCACCTGCATCACTGTCTGCTCATATCCATCACGTCACAGGCTGAAGTTTGCTGGAGCTGAATGTCCTTAATGGCCTTTTCTTTCACCGTCTTTGCGAAGGTATTTGAAGTCTGAAAATAGGTGCTCTGACTTTATGATGAATGAATCTTTCAGTGAACGGTGTTTAAAGCTTCATTGTTCCTCCTGTTGCAACAACACTTTTCATTACATCGCAAACATGAAGCAGTCCTTCCTCATTGACTGAAAGCAAATGTTCATTCTCATTCTTAGTCCAGTCTTATCGACTCTCTCTCTTTATCTTTGGGATCCATGCGCACACACAGTCTATAATGCACATGCCGCCTGGCATTTTAGGGGCACTAAAGGTTGCCGACCCCTGGTTTATACAGTATGTGGAAGCAAATACTGTAGAGGATCAGGATGTCTGCAGTTTCAACAATAGAATACAGTACAATAGTCTACATTAAACAGAGTAATAAACATGTCTCAGAGTGAGGGAGGTGGACACAGACAATACTATTGTTTGTTACAGGGATGAGAATTGGTAAAAATGTCTGAAATGCATAATGTCAGCCATTGGCTGGCTCTAAATCTGTTTAATCTGTTCACAACATTTTACTTTTGGGCTCAAACATGAACTTTTAATGCAATGGAAAATTTAGGTACCCGAGCTTTAATTTAGAGGAGAGGGGAGACGCGGACTGTTTTCTTCAGCGGTGTATTTATTGGGTGCACAAATTACGAAAAGACATGCATGGTCCTGTGCGCGTTTATGGTCTTGGGTACATGGTCACGTTGCGGCTACGCGCTCACCGTGTTGTGTTGTGAGCGGTTCCTGCGTCCAGCTCAGAGCCGCTGGATGCGGGAACACTGCGGCCGCTGAGGTGGTGGAATCCCGTTCAAGTACATGCAGCAGGTGCCCCGCGGACACGCGCGCTCCCCTCAAACATTTCTCAACGGATTTACACTTTTCACAAACATGTTTTTTGTATGAAGCAGACAGACCGGCCCAAATATGGGCATCGGCCCTTCGGGCATTGCCCGGTACGCCCGATGGCCAGTCCAGCCCTGGATTCAAAGACCTGTTCCTCTAAGACCTATATCACATTCTAGCCTCTGCAGTAGAATGCTGTGGTCTATTGTGTCAAATGCAGCACTAAGGTCCAGTAGGACCAGCACTGACACTTGTCCATTATCAGCAGCTAGTAGTAAGTCATTTGTGACTTTGACTAGTGCCGTTTCAGTCTATGATGAGCTCTGAATCCTGATTGAAAGACTTCAAACATATTATTTTCCTGCAGGTGGCAGCAAAGCTGCTCAGCAAAAAGCTTTTCCAGGATTTTGGATATGAAAGTAAGGTTTGAGATCGGTCTGTAGTTTGTAAGTAGATCCGGATCCAGGTTTGTTTTCTTCAGGAGGGGTTTGATTACAGCGGTTTTAAAAGCTTGTGGGACATAGCTACATTGTATAGATGTGTTTATTATATTTACGATAGGCTCTATTATCAAAGGAAGTGTGTCTTTAAAGAGGCAAGCCGGGATTGCGTCTAACATGCAAGTTGAGGCCAGAGCCGTCGCAATGGGGTAGGCAAGGTAGGCAGCTGCCTAGGGCCCCCAGCTGAAGGGGGCCCCCGATGGCCGCACGGAAGTTTAGGTTGTGTATCTGTGCTCGTCAAACAGTATCAACCACCGTAAATAAACCACCGCAATGAGACAGCGCTATCACTTTCCAGTACTGCTCCGTGAGAGGGGCCCCCCAAACTAGAGGGATTCCCCCTATGCAACGACCAACACTGTGAGCGCTCTAATCACTGTAATGTTGAAGTGACATCCACCGTCGCGCTCCCCCCATGAGGTCCCCCACTAGCTGTCATTGGAAGCGAAAGCGTCACAAGCGCTACGCGGGCATTTAAATTTTAAAATATCATGAAGCGATCATACCCTTCAGGATTTTTTAAAAGACAAAGAAAGAAAGAAGACGAGGAAAAACGCCAAAGACACAGCGGTAAGTAAACCATTATTATCTCCAAATACAACTGTCTGACGTGTTTTCACATCTCTGCGAACATAAACCTTGACATCAGTGACCAAACACAACGGTAGATGTGAGCGTTGTTAGAGGGTGAAAAAGTTAAACTATAGTCATACACAACTTTGGTCCGTTTGCAGAATTTAAGCATAAAATACATACTACCCAACTTTTCGCCCCTTCACTACTGTTGTAACTACAGCGTTCGAAAACTTCCTTTGAGCTAAATCCTCTTGATGCACGAGCCCAGATTACGACAGCGTAAGGAGATTTTTTTTGCCATGTAAAGGCAAAAGCTAGATAAGTGTTGTCACTTACTCTTGACGACTGCTGTCTGCCCGCGGCGGCTGCTGTCACGGTAAAAACGGTCAATTCCAAACAAAATGAGCTGGTCCTATGACTCCCATGCAGTTAGGTCCAAGCTAAATAATTACTCAAGTCCGGTTACATTTTAGGTGTACGCAGGCCATCAATTTCCGTTGGTGATATTTCTATTCCATCTGGAGAAAAAAGTCCTTTTTCCTTCGCGTTTGTCCATCCACGCATCTCAACACTTTACCGCACGTAACAGGTAGTTTTGCGTATGACGCTCTGTGTTGCATTATGGGAAGTGAAGTTCTTTTCCTGTAAAGTAGATATCGAATCCTCCACACTTAACTTTCATGATATGCTATGAAAATAACAATAAACGTATGCATATTCACCAAATGTTTTGCTTTATTAGGTGCTTTGCTTAAATTTCTGTCTCTGCCAATTGAGAATGCCACCTCTTCACAAGCTAAAGGTATGTGTTACATCTAAAATAATTATTTTTAATTACTTATATTAAAATAATAATAACAACAATAATAATAATAATACAGAAGTAATAATAATAATTATTAATAATAATATTATTAGTATTACTATTAAAAATATGTATTTAACTAATTCTATTAGGCTGTGATGGAACTTCAGAAGTCAACTCTCGAGACCCACCCAGGAGCAGTCAATCATCATCTCAGTTTGAGACTGACTGCACCCCACTGCTTCATACTACCTCCACCTCCACCACTCCAGCCGAAGACAGCTCGTCTACTTCTCCAGCAAAAGATTCCTCTACTCCTCCTGAATATGAAGGTGCGCATTACATGGAATATAATCTAACCTAATAGTTTTAATTGTTTATCTTATTATTATTTGTAGTGGTGGTAGTAGTAGAATAATAATAAAGAATATGCTGTTTTTTTAGGCTGTGATGGAACTGCAGAAGTCAACTCTCGGGACCCAGCCAGGAGCCGTCAATCGTCATCTCAGTTTGAGACTGACTGCTGCGCCCCACTGCTTCTTACTACCTCCACCTCCACCACTCCAGCTGTAGAAAGCTCCTCTACTTCTTCAGAAAAAGATACTTCTTTTCCTCCTGAATCTGAAGAGGCTGCACTTACTGCAACCCTCAGTGATGATCCTGGGTTGTGGCCAGATGTAATGAATGAAGAAACTCGTTGTCAAATTGTTAGAAATGGACCAGTTCAAATTGTGGACTTTGATTTTCCTAAAAACACTGAAGTTCCACCAAGAAGGTTCACAAAAGACAACTATAAGATAATGATGAAAAATGGGGAAAAAATCCAGAGGTCATGGCTTCTGTATTCTGTGAGCACTGATGCTGTATTTTGTTTTTCCTGTTTACTGTTTAGTAAGAGAGACAACGCTCTAAGCACCCATGGTTATTGTGCATGGAAGAACCTTGCACATCACCTTAAAGAACACGAATACACAAAAGCACACTCAGAGTCAATGAAAAAGTGGCATGAGCTACAAAAAAGATTGCTAACTCAAACTGCCATTGACCAAACCTACCAAAATCTCATGCAACTTGAAATTGAACACCGGAAAGCAGTTATACACAGAGTCATAGCCATTATCTGTCACCTGGCTGAACAAAACCAAGCCCTCAGGGGTACATCTAATGTACCATTTGATGATCACAATGGGAATTTTCTATCACTGGTTGAACTTATGGGTCAGTTTGATTCTGTGCTCAATGAACATTTGAAAAGAATTAAAAACAAAGAGATGAAAGTACACTATCTAAGTCCAACTATTCAAAATGAGATTATAAATTTGGTAGGCGAGAAAATCATTGAGGAAATAATGCGAAGAGTTAAACAGGCCAAGTACAACTCCGTCATAATGGACTGCACACCAGACCTGTCACACAAGGAACAGCTGTCATTGGTGCTTAGAATAGTGAACTGTGAAACATCTGTTGGAGCAGCTATATCGGAGCATTTTGTTGGCTTTTTTGATGTTAAGGACACAACCGGCAGAGGGCTAACAGAGACTCTAGTAGGCTTTCTTCAGCAACATGAGCTCAACATTTCTGACTGTCGCGGCCAATCATATGACAATGGTAGTAATATGATGGGCCACAAACAAGGTGTGCAGGCCAGAATTTTGCAAATGAACAGCAAAGCTCTGTGTGTACCCTGCAGCAGTCACACACTAAATCTTGTTGTTTCAGATGCAGCAAAATCATCTGTTATGTCTATGTCCTTTTTTGGTTTGCTCCAACGACTCTACAATCTGTTCAGCTCTTCAGTGCAACGGTGGGCTGTTCTCAAGCAACATGTCACGCAGTTGACTTTAAAAATGTTGTCAGCAACCAGGAGGGAAGCTCGAATAGACAGTGTTAAAGTGTTGCGTTACCACCTACCGGAGGTTTTGGAAGCACTGTCTGCACTTCAGACTTTTGCTGTTGAAAAGAGGGATGCTGAGACATTGTCCACTGCCAAAAGTCTGCACAGTGAAATGAACACATGGCGTTTCCTTTTATGCACCATTATCTGGTACAATATTTTGTACCAGATAAACCACATGAGTAAACTTCTGCAGAGTCCAAATGTTTCTCTGGAAACACTCAGAAAAGAAACAGAAGGTGTGAGAGTTTATCTTTTGCAATTTAGAGAAAGTAGGTTGTCTTGCTGTCAATCCTCTGCAATGGACATTGCAGAGGAACTGAAGATTGAAAAAATACTTCCTGCAAAGAGACAGAAAAGAACACCAAAGCATTTTGACTGTGACTCAGCAGCAGAAGAAACTCTACACAGTCCAGAACAGGCATTCAGAAGGGAATTCTTTCTTCCTTTAGTAGACACTGCACTTAGAAGTCTCAATGACCGCTTCTCAAAAATGGAAGATGTGTATGCACTGTACAGTTTTCTATTTTCCAAAGACAATATGAGGCAAGCTGTAAAAGAGAATAAACTGCAAGTGAAATGCAAAACCTTAGAAAAGATGCTTCATGACATTGAGGCAGAGGATTTAGTTTTGGAGGTCAGATCAGCCATCCATACCTTTCCTGATGATGTCTCTGCATGCCCACAAGACATGCTGAATTACATTTACAGTGAGGACATGCTGGATTTGTACTGCAATCTCAGCATAGCACTACGTCTCGTTCTGACACTTCCTGTCACTGTAGCTTCTGGAGAGAAAAGTTTTTCAGCTTTAAAACTGATAAAGTCTTACCTCAGATCATCCATGAGCCAAGAAAGACTGAGAGGACTGGCACTTATATCAATAGAACGCAACACAAGGAGATCATTGAACATGGACAATTTGGTCACTGCTTTTGTGCAAGCTAAAGTCCGCAAGCGTTGCTAAACTTCATTTTGGATGGTTATTCTATGACAAAAATCCTGGTTGTACATTGTTAAAATAGTTTGTGTTATACACCATTTTAATACCTTTCTTTTAATTCAACATTTGTATAGTTCTAGATAAAAAAACAATGCTCAGCATAAAGAGAAGACAGTTCTTAAGAATGATAACATGAATAATCATACCTTGTTACCTTGTTTTTGCCTTGTTGACCAAATAAACATTCATCAAATTGTGTCATTCCCATCAACAATGCCTCATTGAAGACACTGTGCCCTTTACTACACTCTAGTGGCCACTTTGTGTAGCGTACTACAGAGTAATTCATGACTCTTAAAATGCACCAGAATACAATAAATTCCATCTGATTTAAAAAAAAAATTCCGAGCAAGGACTTGGGGCCTCACTTCACTCTTTTGCCTAGGGCCCCCAAATATCTTGAAACGGCCCTGTTTGAGGCTTTGGAAGATGCAACCACAGAGATCACTTCCTCTTGGCTCACAGCCAGAATTTGTCAAGAGCCACTAAAGAATCCAGGTGGGAAATCAAGTGCAACGCTTCAGCCTGTCCATCACCAACACTACCAGTGGTTTTCTCCAGTTTGTCACGAATGGATGTAATTTTATCATTAAAGAAGTGGAGAAAGTTGACACTGCTCAGTGAGCTTGGAATTTTAGGCTCGATTGCGCTATGGCAGTTTGTGAGTTTAGCGACGGTGCTAAACAAAAATCTACTGTTGTTTTTATTCGCTTCTATTAAAGTTGAATAGTATTGAGTTCGAGCCCTGCGAAGGGCATCCTTGTAGTTTTCGGAGACCTGATTACTAGTATTAAGTGGCAATGACATGGAAAAGAAAAGTAAACATGTGGGAGTGGCTATTAGGGATGTAAATCGGTGACCGTTTAACCGGTGGTTGACCGTCACAGCGTTAACCGGTCAAAGCTGTCGGTTAAAAAAAAGAAAAGGGGAGAGGGACGTCTCTTAATAACGTAATTTTAAGCCCTATTTGCACGATGTGACGAGCGGATCTGTCTCTAGCTGTGTGCGCCCATGTATTAGTAAACTCTGGGACGACTATCATGTGCCACATATGCGCGCACACACACACACACCCACCCACACACACACACACACTTTCTCCCTCTCCATCAGTGTTGCCAACTCCTCAGTAAGGAAAGTAGCTATTGGCTGTCCCAAAAGTCGCTAGAAGTCGCTAAATGACGTCATCGCCTAATTTGCATAATTGGCAATTTGCAAATAACTGTAACGGACGCTGTAGGAGAGAGGAATAACGTCGTGGGAGAGACAAAAGTGAGTAAAAAGCACCCTAAATATCTTTAGAACTACTAATGTACAAAGATAATTTCAACATTAACAACATTTAATGATTTTAATGCTTTGTCTAGATCTGTCGCTAGTCGCTTTTTTGAAAAAAAGTCGCTATAGGGTCTGAAAAGTCGCTAAATCTAGCGACAAAGTCGCTAAGTTGGCAACACTGGACTGAGCTGCTGAGGTTGTGTGAGTCAAATGCAGTGATTTATTTGTGTGACAGCGTCACAGCGAAGAAACTTTTACATTTAAATCCCGCTCTGCAAGCCAGCGGCGGCTTTTGCGCAAGCGCATTTCATTTGCAGTCCGGACGCCGAGTGGTGAGGGTCTCTCTCTCTCTCTCTCTCTGCTCCGCCCATAGACTAGCTGGGACTGCTGCGCAAGGCTACTGTGAGACTGGCTGCCTGTAAGTGCTTTGGGACGGGGGAGGAGCTCACGTTGAGGACAGCAGAACAATACGTGCTTCACGAGTCTCCAAAACACCAGATAAGTCGCCAAAACACCAGATAAGTCGCCAATAACACCAGAAAAAGTCGCTAGATTTGTCTCTAGTCGCTTTTTTGAAAAAAAGTCGCTATAGGGGTCTGAAAAGTCGCTAAATCTAGCGACAAAGTCGCTAAGTTGGCAACACTGCTCTCCATACGTAACATCCAGATGCATCATCTCTACCCTCTGTTACTGCCAAAGTTGCACACTGGCGCGGGTCAGAACTACATTGGAGCTTACATTTACACACACATACACATTTGTACACACACACATACTGGTCTGTTGCGCTCCTCTGTGTCACGGAGCCCAAAGGATCCGCGCAAATACACGGCTCCAGTCAAACCACATGGACCATGTTTGTGTTTATGGTCCTTGGCATCAGCTCCACAGACATCACTTGTATTTAAACTTTAGCGGAGACCTGTGAGACGCGGCGTGTCACTCGCTGCTCTGACCATGTGAACGAGCCGTTGTTTGCGGCTAAAAAGTTTTGGTTTTAACCCGCAGCACAGAAGAATATAAAGATTAAAAAAGCAGTTCTCTGTGCGCAAAGGTGCCGGAGCTGTTGCAGGTTTTGGCGCCGCTGTCTCGGCTCTGATCTACAGTATTAGAACGCATCTGCACTTATGAAAAGTACGCGGCTCGAAATGGCTGTTATTTCAAATAACATGGAATATTTTAAACTACGCGGTTAACCGGTTTCAACCGGTTAATGAGGCTCGGTGGTCCGTTATGAAAATTCATAGTTTTTTACATCCCTAGTGGCTATTACGATAATCTTGATAAATAAATGATCTGAATTGTACAGAACAGTACAACCACAAAAAACAAACACTTACCCCAAACTGCTGAAGCATCTCCCCAAATGAGATGCGCGCACCCCCCTGTTCACAACCC